ATAAAAAATGGGGAATACGAAGATCCCACCTCGTACTTGTTAAAAAAATATGCACGTTCATACAATAAGCGTCGATTTGAGAAGCATAACTCCAACTGAACTCTTAAAGCATAGATATTCAAGAAGTAAACTATGCTATGTTCTCTGTAAACAGGTGGCATACGTAAAAGTGTCGACCAGTTCGCATATTCAATTCATACTTTGAAACAGGTGGTAGCACGATACTACACATTCACAGCTCGCTAAAAGAGAGGTATATACTTTTATATGTACCATATATGCCTCACGTGACTCCACAACAATTTAAAATGTTGTCCAGCAGTAGCTTTTGCGACGCACAGAAACTCTATGCTATGTTATGCGCTTTTTGTGTGATTACACAGCTGACACTGTATGCATTAATATATTTGCCAACCAACTCTTTTTTAATACATATATGCCGGCAAGCGTTCAATTTAAGGAGACAGCGGTAGAATGTTTATGGTTGCTGTTGTTATGTTCGTAAGCGCAAGTTGTACAATACTCGTATGCGGTGAAGTTGTAGACCTCCCTCACCTTTACTTATCCACCGAAAATACACATACGCACATATTTATTGCAATACTGTGATCTAGCCTCAGGCAACACATCGGCATGCGACATGTCACTTCTCAAATTCCATCGCTCCAATTCCGCTCGACAGGCGCATAGAGATTGTGTGCCCAGTTTCGTTATACGTAGCTTCCAATATAGTCTATGTCATGCATATTTGTGAACCCCTGCACGGGAGTATTTGTAGATTCTTCTACTCAGCACGACATATTGTGGACTGTTGCGGCGTAATGCTATGCTCCTTAACTGGCGAGCGAAAGAGGTCACACGCTCCAGGGCAGATTGCGCACTTGCTCAAATATTTGCGCCTGAAATGCTATATTGAATGTGTATCTGTGTGTATGCGTGGGTGGGTGCTTCTAGCATAATGCACTAATATGTGGTAAAGAGCACGCGTGCCGCGATTGTCGATGCATAAGTTAGATAAGGTATATTTTAAATACCATCACACGAGTTAAATAAGTTGCAGTTTTATGATTACAAATGAATATGGACACATATTTAAAGGTAATATTTCCGAATAAAGTACATATAGGATTTCAGATTGTTTCCAAATATACCTCAGGTAATTATATTAAAGTAATTAGCACATCTCAATACGGTTTACACTTCAGCCCAACTTCAGTTGAAATTTGTCAACTCGAATTTTATACCTCTATTATGGTTTTCAACTCCACTTGGTCGAATTGAAGTTGAATCAATTCAACTTAAGATCAATCTAACTCATATTGTTATTATGATTTTCAATTATTTTCAGCCGAAGTTTGATTGGTGTTGCCAACCTAAAAACAACAATTAAATTTAGTTATTGCTTGCAAAAAAGTGCATAATTACTAAAATTAGTTTTGATTTTTATTACAATACGATGCCAAAAATGTTGGAGACAATTAAATGGTTTCTAAGTAATGTTTAATGCAGATTCATAAATTATTTTCGTTTAAATAAGGGGTAATTTTGTTTTTTACTAAACGAGATGAAAGAACGTCACCAAAAACCATCCATTTCCATGCTGCTTATAATGATCAAGAGAGCATCTTAAATTATTTTAACATTGTTGACGATATCTACGAATGGTTACAAAACCTGCTTCTAAATATTATGAACATCACATTTGTACACTGTCCACCATGACTAAAGAGGATCAAAACGCTTCAGAAATTTTATTTTAGCCAAAAACTCTTTATGTTCGAAACAATTCCTACGATTCTTTTATTTTACTTTATTTTATTTTATTTTATTTTTTCTTTAGGAATTTTACTACACGAACTCAACAAATTTTTCACCTTTCTATGGATTTCTACATAATAAGAGATTAAAATTGTTTGAAATTATAACTAAAATAGTTATTTTTACACATTTTCTATTTGTATTCTACCCAAATAAATTCATTAATGTTTAACTACAACTGCTTGTTAGCAGTTCAAAATTTTTCATACCCTAGCCAACCCCACTGACAGAGTGTTGAAAACCACAACACCAAAAAAAGTTGAAGTTTGACAATACTTCAACCGATTTTTTTGTTTTGACGGGTTGAGTTGAAGACAAATTTCAAAACCTCCACCAAAATGCAGTTGGGTTGAAAAAAATTATAGGAGCACTAAATTATCATGTTACGCTTGTTAGCGTGTCAGTGGTCCGATTCCGCCCATTTGCAATACCAACCCCCCTTGGGCGCCAAGGAAAATGTTTCATCAGGATACTCAAGTTATCGCTTGCACGGACAGACGGACGGACAGACAGTCACTCGAAATTCAACTCGTCTCATCATGCTGATAAATTATATCTCTCTATTATATATAAAAGTTTTCTGCTGCTGTCGAGAATCAACTAACATAAGAGCGAGCTAGCTCGCGCTCGGCGGGGGGCGGACGTAGGCGAGCGAGCGAAGCGAGCGTCGCTGCGCGAAGCGGAGGTCGCCTAGTACCATATATATGTATAACTCAATATCTATTTCGATTATTTAAATGGTGAACAAAATTATTATACGCTGTAGCAACATGTTGCAAGAGTATAAAAATCACCTTTTAATGCTAACTTTTAGATGAGAAAATTTAAATCTCTAAAAACTTTTTTTGTTCGATTTAGTTTTTTTTAATGTTTTTATGGTACTTTATTGTATGGTAAGCGAGTTGCGGTTCTAAAATATTCACTTTTGCTTTAATATTTAATTAAAATTTTTTATTTATTTATTTAAAAAGTTACGTGAATATGTTGAGTTTGAATGAGACTGAATGCTAACAATTAATTCATACGCTATTCTCGGGTTAAGCATTATACCTCGCATATATAAATTATACTATCTAGAAGCCAAGTGCAGGACAGGAACTTTTCTAATTAAATGATTGAAAGTTTATGAAGGTATGAAGAGAGAAAAAGTTAGTGTAAATTATCATATACCATGATATTTTTTGAACTAGGTATTTGTACAGTATTTTGTACTAAAAAATTAAATCCACCATTCATAACACACCATTCATGATACAAAGCAGTATTAAAACGAAGTATCATTAACAAATATTTGATTAAGACTACTTTTAGTAAAATGTCTGTGTGTGTATTTCATACAAATTATTAGTAGGTTATTAACTGGTACAAATAGTTGTAAATTAGCGCAAAATATTATGCATAAATACACGCAAATTCTACCTAGCATACCAACAAACATACACCATCCATGCTATTGGCAAACATCGGTAATTCGAAACATGAACATCGAAACCCACCAACCAAAACTCTTATTGTATATGTATACACGTATTTCTAGCGGTATTTTTTACATACAGTAAAATATATTTATGAACCAAATTGCGTACACAGCTGATAGTTAATTACAAATTGTATTGGAGAAATGCAAAATTTGCAACGAAAGCCATTTCACCGAAAATAACATATAAATTACAAAGTATATAAATAGCCATCAAAAACCTTATCATAAACCATCATATAAGTACACAACTCATAGTGTCTCATCGCGTCACCTGCAACAAAGTAAAAAAACAACACTTGCGAAAATGTGTACTTGTATGCATAACCCATTCAGGTATTATACAACTTATCCTATCACCCACGCGTCCAGCATATTTCCACTGCAACCAGCCTTTACAGCTTTTACTTTCCCCTACTCCCTAGCTACTTTTTATGAAATTCCTACATTCCTCGCTCATGCTGATTTATTTTCGCTATTTTGTATTCAATTTAATGCGGCATTTAATTTTTTGCGTGGCAATAAGTGAAAAAATGTCACTCTCACGTGTCGCACGCCCTGTTCGCTATTATGTTTTCGCTTCATTTTATTTCCATATATTTTCCTCCAGCTATTTTTGTGCGCGTTCAAAAAAGTGAACGACTGATTCGCTTTTTTTCCAGCGCAAGCAAAAGAACAACTGTCATTTTTGCCACGTTTTCATTCGAAAATTGCATCCCCGCTCCCAACCCGAATACCTACCTACCTTGTGCTTAATGACATTTAATATGGCAATACCGTTTTTTGATGCCATTTCACAATTATTTTTTTGCTTTTGAGAAAATCATTGAATTCTTGTTTAAAACATTATAAAAAATTATTTTTTCTGGAGGTAATTGTGTTTCACAAATTTAGCGCAATGACGTCGTGGAATCATAATTTATCCTTGTTTTTGTAATTTTTACTTTTTTTCAGCACTTTCTCTTAGGAACATAAATATTTTTTTTTTTAAATTATGCGTCATAAATAATTTTTGTATTTTGTTATGTCGCATGCGCACACTTAAATAAATAACTGTTATTTTTATATAAATAATAGAAAATATTTTATAAGAAATCTTAACCCCTAATACTTTTAATATCCTTATTTCCTAATTTTGAAACACGTGCAGATATTCTGGTCTAACCATTGCAATTCCAATTCTAACTTAATCAAATATTTAAACGAAAAATTAAAATATATTGGAAACCTTAATTGTTTAATTATAGAAACCAATATTTTCTTGGTCAAAATTTACAATATCAAAACAAAATCGCGTTAAGTAAAACTTTTTTTTAAATTGATACATAATAAATTCATAAATAGTGTTTGCATAAATTAAGCGAAAATCGGATTTTTTTTGTATTTTCGAACACCAATTATTCATTTTTTAGATTTAGCCAAATATTTGCACGTATTATTAATTTAATAACACACCTGTCGTTGAACTGATTGAATTATGACGAAATGTTTGCATATTTGATTTTTGAAAACCACACACAGATCATCTATCTTTATAATAATACCCTCACACTACATTTGGTCATATTTCAAATAACTGATATAAAATTAGTTCTCCTAGTTTAAAACGTAACTATTCTAATATTTTATAACGTCTTCTTCAATTTTCTAATGTGTATATGTATATATTCCTTTACCCGCTTTATTTCGTCATCGGCGTTTGCAGTTCGGGTATTGAAGGCAATCCGACTGTGTTTTATCGCCTAATGCCTGGGTCTACCGCACAGACCAACAAATTTCATACGTTTTATTTGCAACAAAGACCGGATAATGGGGATACATGGGCTGATATAAAGGTGAATCATCCCTTGGATTATGAAAGTATAAAGGAGTATAATTTGACGATACGTGTGGAGGTGAGTAATGCATTACAAATTTTGTAATTTCTATCAGTTAAGAGTGAATTAAAAAACAGAAGTTCTATAAAGTATATATTGTATATACCATAAAGTAAAACAGTAAAATTTTGAAAATAAGCCCCGAAAGATTATAGCAATTTAATACATTTTATCTCCGTAGTGCTGTAATTAATTATACAAAGTTAAGGAATATACTTGTATTGTGGTTAAATATAAAGACAAACCGTCATTGATAGTCATAGTAACGACAGAAATAATTTCCCAAAAAATATTGAATTAAATAATGCTGTCACTTTGACAGTCCTTCAGCATATAAACATACCGAACCCGGTTTTTTTTTATTTTGCGGGTGAGGGGGTGGATCTGCATCATCACAGCTGTCATCGCAGCAGCGGTATGTGCCGCTTGCAAGTCACTAAAAACCACCCCTCTAGGGAACCGTCGCCCACCCTGGAACCGCGTTTGCATTACATTATTTGCTGCGTAGCAAATTTGCAGCGAATTTCTGGATGATCCCCCAGTTTTCTTCGCTCTCCAGCATGACGCTGATTAAATTGTCCGTGTTTATTGGAGCAACCGGTCTTCTACAGCGGTGCGTTCCCGTTGCCATCGCGTACATTCAAAGAATGTGTGTTCAGCGTCGTCTTCTGTCACGTCGTTGTATGGACATGACGGCTCTTCGGCTTTTCTCATTCTGTGGAGATACTTTTTGAAGTATCCGTGACCGGATAGCAGTTGTGTCGTGTAGAAGTCGCCTTCTCCAAATTTCCGGCTTGTCCATAAGTTTACATTTTTTATTAGTCTGGCCGTCCATCTGTCGCGACTCTCATTCTCCCATCTTCGCTGCCATGCTGACATCGTATCTTTCTTTATTTGTTCGATTGCCCTCTTAATATTCTCAGATGTCTTCTTTAGCTCCCACAGCTTTTTCCTTTTGTATGCTAAGAGGTCAATTGGGATATTACCGCTTATAACTAATATTGCATCAATTGACACTGTTCAGTAAGCTGTTGCAACTCTAAAAGCTGCGGTGCGGGGTACTTTGGCCAATACCTTACGCTGAATTTTATTTTTTAGCACATCTGCCCAAATCTCTGCTCCGTATAATAGGACGCTGATGGTCGTGGACATTAGGAGCTTTCTCTTTTCTTGGCTGGGCCCCCTTATGTTGGCCATTAGTCTGCTGAGTTAGGAGGTTATTTTCGCTGCCTTTCCTGCGACGTGTTGGATTTGTACCCAGAAAATTAATCTGGGGTCCAGTCTGTCACCTAGGTAGTTTACCGCTTTTTGTGTCTTTAGAAAATACGTAGTCGTTTGCATACTTATTTCGAGAGCTATGTGCTTGTTTGTCAGCAGTAGTAGCTCTGTTTTTTCAGTAGCGAGCTGTAGGTTATGTAAGTCAAGCCACGCTTGCGTCCGTATCATGACCTGGATTAGCTTTCTTCGCGCATCTTCTGTGTCTCTGGCTGTAATTACTTCGGCGATGTCGTCGCGTAGCCAATTAGATAAGATTCGTCTGGCATGTCGAGTTTTAGTATGGAGTCGTAGCTGATGCTCCACAAGTCTGGGCCTAAAATGGATTCTTGTGCTGCTCCTGACGTATACCGAACCCGGCTCAAAAGATTCGTATTGTGTGTTATATGAACATGATGTCGTTCCCAGAGCTATTGGTCCTGTATCAAATGTGACTTACAAATAACATCGATTTTCCGAAAAAAAAATTTCTGTGTTTCTGACTTACTATCCAGATAAGCAGCCGGAAAGAGCAATTAATGCGCAATAGTGTTAAACTACCATAACTATCGCTGTGAACCTTGTCCTTAGCTTTAACTTAATCACAATTTATAATTATAAATATTGTTAATAATTTACTTAAGATAATTGAAAGGAAATCAAAAAGATTGCTTTAACAAAATTAGTTTATTTCTAGCAAAGAAAAGTATGAGGGAGTTTGCACCTAATTTCCATCGAACGGTATTCTCATACTCTTCTATAAAATGCAAATATTAATTAATTATATTTATGCTTGAAAATAAATAAACATGCATACATTCCTCCGTTTGCACTAACTCTAAGTGCGAATTCTTCAAAAGCCTAAATATTTAATCGATTTGAAATATTTCCTAAAAATGCCAACTGTGATCTATTATATCGCTTTATTTGCGCTTATTATTACACTGGCATATGTTTGTTTATTTGCAAATGCATATATTGCACAAAATATTTAAGCAACATACTGCAATTAGTAAAGGAAAACATTTACATTTTCCTACTAAAGACATATGTATATACAGATTTATAAGTGACAGCTGAAGTGACATCAATGCTTGCCCAACAAACGGAAATGTTATTAAATATTTGATAAACAATTTGAAGAGAGTTGTCGGCGCATTTGCAACAAATGTGCCACGCCTGTGTGCGTCCGTTATGTGGCTAATTGCTAAGAGAAATGCAACCACAGAAATATTCAGTAAATATGTAGTGTATGTTCAGTAGGTATTTGCCACATTTATTTGTTATTACCAGGCAAAGCACTCTTGTTCTTGCCGCTCTAATACATTTAAATGCAAAGTGAAGCAAAAGTAAACTTCGCTTAAGGCAGACGAGCAAACACTTGCATAATTCATATCCATCTACGAAATAAATCAAATATTGCATATGTTCAATAAAAGTTGTGAGTTTTAAATCATATTTGCATTTCACGTATCAACTAATTTGTGTAACTGTTTGTAGAATATATAAGTATAAATAATTTCATAGGAATTTATATATATACAGATATACATATATATATATACATATATGTATATCTATATCCAATCAAACTTTCATAAGGATAAATACCTTCAAGCATTTAAGGTACATAGTGTCCGCTTGCCGCAAAAACCTTTGTGAGGGACTTGGTTTTACGCCTGAAATGCTTAGACAAATAATTCATTTATTAATAGGCGGATTTTAGTACAATCAATTTCAAAGCAAATAGTTATATATGTACTTATAAGAAGTTTAGTATTGCAACATGTTTGCATTCCAAAATTTCAGCATGTTGAAAACTATTCGAGATTCTTAAAATTTTTTGCTTACATTTAAATACCATCTGTTATGTTTTTCAAAAAGCTGTGATTTTATTTAGAAAGCATTTATACGAACATGTATCGATCATAATAAAAGTTGCAAATACTCAGTGAACATATGTGTAAATATAAGTGCTGATGTATTTTAAACATGAATAACATAAAACTTGCAAATGTATTAGTGAACTTTTTTATGACACATTTATTACCACAATTTATTCACTTCTTTCAATAGTTTGACTTTGCTTAATACTTTTGGAATAAATGATGTCATACGAACGGTTTTTGTATGGAAAAATGGAGATAGATATGGCGTTATATATATTAGGTAAAGTAAATGATCAAGACGACGAGGCGAGTTGAAATTCGGGGGGCTGTCTGTCCTCGCCTCAAACTGTAACTTGAGTAAAAAATGAAGTTATCTTTATGAAACTTGTTACACATGTTCCTTGGCAAAGAAGCGAGGACGATCTCGTAGATGGGCGTAATCACACCACTGCCACGCCATTAATCGTAAAGAAATGAAGTGCCATAACTAAGCCATAAATGAAGTAAATAACTCAAACTTAGCACCACGGATCACATTAAGGAGGGGCACCTGTGATTTAAAAATCTTTGAAACTTGAGCGTGGCTCCGCTCCCTAATAAGTTTTATGTATATATCTTCTAAACAAATAATCACCCTAATTTGCACAGGTTAAATTTTTAAAAGTTTTCGAAAGGTAGTGTGAAAATATGTGAAATCGGATGATCCCCACTCCATATATAACGGTTTTATTAAAAATTACTAAATGTGCGATGAACCAATAACAAAATGCTTCAGAGACATTAAATTTTACATCCAGTATGGAACCAGAGGGCTTTATAGGAAGTGTCAAATTTGGACGATGTGTGTATCACCACCCATTTGTAGGTGAAATTACATATCTTGGAACCTGCTCAACGTATTTCAACCAAATTGGGTACATTCCTTTGATATTTCTATGTTACAGTGTGAAAATGGGGGAAATCGAACTACAACCACACCTATTTCCCATATAGCAAAATTTTAAACTCCATCTGATTCTTTCACATAGCAGTATACAAATAAAGCATGAACTAGTATAACGGAATGAAACTTTGCACGAATAAGGCATTTGACCAAAAACTCTTCAAATTGGACCAAAACTGTTGAAGCCCCTAGGTACCGAATATATGGACTTCAGTGCATATAGTTGACATTTTATCGAAAATATCGGTCAATGTGTGAGATATATAAGTGAAATTCGCAGAGAATTCTTGCATTCCTGATAACAGTTTTTCTGTACGTCAAAAATGGATTTAATTGGGTCAACACTTCCTTTAGGCCCCATATACCCAATATAAAGATTTTAAAACTTCCGGGTGACTTTATACCGCATAAATATGCCAATATGGGCGTTATCTCAATGAAAATGAGAAATTGTATTTTATTAATAACTGTATATCTTTGTGCATAAAATGTATAAAACTAGGTGAAAACTTGACCTGCACTATATAACTAATATCAGAATTTTCGAATATCCATCTGGCTTTACTTCATATAGGTTGGTGATGGTACATGAGGTACCTTAATGTAACATGGCATGTTAATAGTATGTGGTATTGGCAAAAATAGATAAAATCGGGTCAATACTACCCCCAACTCCCATATACTACATATACCTATATTTAAGTATATCTGAGCAATGTCCAAATTAATGCAATCAGCTCGTCCCTCTCTCTATCGATCTAAATTATAACAGATAAACTGAGTCTAAGTTTATGGACTTCAATTAAAGCCAAAAAGATACAAAATTTTATTATAATTTATTAACGATTAACGATTATTAATTCTTTCGCAACATTTTTAAAAATAAAGTTTCGCCAAGAGTATAAAATGTTCTGGTACACCCGAACTTAGGTCTTCCTTACTTGTTTATATACTTTTGGCTTACACTGCCATTAGCCACATTTTAATAATGTATATTCTTAAATCTTCAATTTAGTTTAATCTCGAAAGCGTTGGTTTCTTACCTTTTTATACTTAGCCTGTGCTGTATACAAAAAAAACCTTCAATTTCAGTTATTGAAAGATTACAGTTATATTTTCGAAATCGCACCCCTCTTGAGTAAAACTGGTCGGTCCGTTTGCTCTAACTCTTATAACAGTCAGTATTAATAATCCTAATATTAAAAATCTCCGGGTGTACAATATCAACACGACTCGATTTAGTGATTATAAGGTTTAATAAACAGAATTTTATTGCAGCAATTATTTATTTATTGAGTAAATATATTTTGCCAGTTTTCATACAAGTTGCATTTATTAATAGGTGCAAACGAAAGCAAAAAAAAAAATAATAATAATAAATGTATCCAATCCAATATTTGTAAAAAGAAATATAGCCTTTATATTGGTTGAGCGCAGTTATTGCCATAAGTCCTTTGCTAATAAACTGGTCGGCTCACTGAGGTAGAACTATTTAGAATTGACAAATTGAAAAAAAATTTTTATATAATATAAATTCTTGTTTGGGGTTTTGAAAAACATTTTTACATTATTATTTTATTTATTAGTTTATAGTTTGTATATAGCAGCGAAAAATTCAAATGAAAGTGTGTGTTAAAGTGTAGTTTCAGGTGGAGCCTAACAAAAAATAGCAAGTGCTTTTTTCTATCGCTATAAACTATATATCAAGTCTTGTAAAAGCTACTCAATGGCGTTAGACTTTATATATTGCTCAAAAAAAACTTTCCTTTTTTGTAAACACAAATACACCTGAAAGTTCTTTTACATTGTACAAGCCTCCTAATTGATTGCAAGCGCTTAGTGTATTAATTCAAGGCAAATTAAGTGCAATAACGTTCAATAAAATTTTAAATTTAACTTTCACAAATTACTTTATCTACCAGTATTCGACTGGTTAAATCATCATTACATTTTTCCAGCTGTTATATTATAAACAGTTGGCAAATCTGAAAAGTAATGCATTAAATTTAATAAAAAATATATTTAGAATTGGAGTATAGAGGGAAAATAACTAAATTAAGTTTTGGAATAGAAAATAACTAAATTAAGTTTTGGAATAGACGTATTCATTTATGTTTCTGTTTTATATACCTTGAAAACTATACGCTTTAATTGATTTATTATTTGTATTTAAGGTTTTTGGGAGTTGGGTATATCTTGTTACTGCCTGGCTCTTTATTCGCCATATTTGGCCGAGAGAACAATAGCGTCCCGCTGTTTCATTACTTCGAACCACCAGTTGAAGTAAAGTCCTTTTCCACGTGGTTACATTTACCACCAAATAATACCACATTACATACCTTTAGCGATTGCTTCGATGTGTTCTAGGTAGGGCTACCGAGATGTTATTAGCTTCCGTCTTATACGAGAGTTTCCTTTGCTAGTGACCAAACGTCCATAAATGATTTCCCAATTATTAGTCGCGAATAATCCTACAGATGCCTTTTCGATGCCTTCTTCGATTTCATGATAAATTCCACACAAGATAGATTTGACCGGACAAGGTGAGACACGTAGAATTCAAAACAATAAAAATTAATATGGATTATTTGGCTTTGGAATTCAAGATAAGGTTTATGTTTAGTAGTCATGCTGTTGCAAGTTACTTCGAGGTAATGATTTCTCATATTAGTCAACCGGCCGCCTTACATAATGAACCTGCTAAACAAATAACACACACTTAGTTAAATTACCTATTAAGTTTTGAAGAACTCAAATAGTTTATTGAATATTTTAACATTTCAAGTCCATGTCTGAACTCAAAAAAATTGGGATGTATGAATTTGGTCGTATCTCGTTAGCATAAAAAAATTAACACGATGCTTAATAAAAAAAGCATTTTTCATATCAAGTTCGCTTTTGACTGCATTTTAATACTTTAATCAATTTTCATATTCATTCATATGCAAATTGAAGTTGTTTTTTCCAGAATAAAAACAAGCTCTGCATAAATATTTTTTTAAGTAAATGTCGTCTATTTTTGCATATGATACCTATGCAAGCAAAAAATGCCTGCGCAATTATTTCTATATTTCAGCATGTAAGCGCATTGTTCCAGGTTTTAATTAACTTTATAATGACAGCGAGTTACTGTACGTAATGAGTTATTGCCTCATATCAACTAGCATATTTATTAATTTTGTCGCTTTTGCATAATGAAAACAAATTTTTCTGATTACGCTTTGTTTTTATTTATTTCTGTGTGTTTTCAGAACAATGGCGCCCAACAATTGGCATCCGAGGCGACCGTCTACATTATGCTCGAGGATGTAAACGACGAGATACCATTGTTTACGGAGCGTGAACAGGAGACCGTATTGGAAGGTGAACCCATTGGCACGAAAGTGACGCAAGTGAATGCCATTGACAAGGATGGCACATTTCCAAATAATCAGGTAAACAAAATGGAGGGCCGTTAGGAAAATTTAGGGAATCATATACTGGAGAGTAAAACAAAGAGTACATGAAAGAAATGGTATGCGGAAATATTTATTCATGTTTGCGCCACAGGGGTGTATGAGGAGCAAGCGGAGACCTGCACTATGGTATGTGGAGCGTATGCAGCAGTGCAGTCAAGTGCGAGAGCGGTTGATAAGCGCCTGCCAGACATACGGCTCATTATTAAGCTAGATGGTAGTATGCAAAGCGCCCAACATTGTTTACTGTGTCGCCCCAATTTTCCAAAACCGTTTTTCTTCTTTTCAAAATTTTCTTATCAAACCCCTTTCCGCTTATTCTTCGTCGCGAAGTGAAAAACAAATTATGCTATAATTAAAATTCTGTGTTTATTATGGCGTGTTAAATGGGATCATCTGGGTGGTAAAGTAGAAAACGCGTAACGCGAGACAGAGAAAGAATGAAATATAGCGTTAAAGTTGCGCGATATTACGCCAGTGCAGCGCAACTAAATTAGCAAATGAGTGTCAAAATCAGTTAAGTGGAATGAATGCTGCACAAAGTTTATGCTTGTAAGTTAGCATGAGCCATTCCGCAAAGGCGTTGACTTGGAAACTGAAAAAATTCAATGAATAGGTAAAAAAACTGGCGCTGGTGTGGGAGAGCGCTTATGAGCATGTGACTGTTAATATATTTAAAAAAATGGTAAGAAAAAAGCGGTAAGGTTCAAGTCCAGCTTTTTTTTTAGTTAGTTGCTTATATAAATAACGGTCTTGCCAGCGCTTCTCACATAACTCTACCACAGCTGGTTCATTTGCTTTGGGCTTATGCTCTCATCTGCTCACATTTTCACGCTAATAAATGTCCAAAAGCATTACGTGCGATGTCAAAAAAGGAACTTGAAAATTTATAAGAAAGACTCGCAACCAACCGCAGGCAAAGGAAACGCTGAAAAATGCTTCCAATGAAGTGGTGTTAGTAGATGTGGAGCATGTCATCTCTTTCACCGCTACCTTTGGTCACGTGAACTAAGCAACGTAGCTGTGTTGAATGCCACAAAGTAAAAAAGGAAATACAATTTACAATATATACACATTCTTTTGCCGAACAAAATGTCTAAACTAATTAATGCTATCACTTATTTGATGTCTCGCCATAATAAAAAAATATTACGTTTGACTTTTAAAGCGTTTTCTTAGAAAATGTGTCAGAGTTGCATGAATTCTCATTTGTAACACTTTATCCCTCCAAAAGAACTTCAGGTAATATTATATTTTATCTTCCCAAACTCGCTCACATTTTCACAATCACATTTCCTTCATGTGTACAATTGATACCAACATATACCAGTATATACATATAATGTTAAAAATTGGGTTGAATATAGGCTTTCTAACGAAGCATCCTAAAGGTCCTAAATGGACTATTAAAAAAATGCAAAGTATAAATACGAGTTGTGGTCTGACCATTATGGAGAAATTGGAAACGGAGATGACAAGGGAAAAGATATATCTCTAAATACAATACGGTAATCAAACCCCTACTTTCAAAACCCACATTGACAACAGAAAACAGGAAAACATCAAGTGTGATTGAAGCAATGTAATTGTTAATTCTAAGTATTAATAACTATTGTACATACCCCATCTACAAGTAAAGGGTGTTTTTTAGAGTTATTGAAGTTTCTAGAGCTTTCAAAGTAAATGTTATGTGCAAATTCGTAGAAATGTATGTCTAAAACTCATATTTCTAGACCATTTGACACAATAAAGAAAGTTAAAGCCCTCAGGGTATTTTTGGCGAAAGCAATTTAATTTATTTAAATTAAATTTATTTAGCATCAAATCATCTTCAGTGGCGCGATATATGTACTTCAGTATTTGTTTACTTGTTTTGATTAGAGTAATATAACTTTTACAGATGTGTGAACTTTTGTATTGTTCAACCCTTTGAGACGTGCACCTCAAACACTCACTGAAAACCTGAACGCCGTTAGAATGTCACTAAAGTCAGCTAAAATGCTTTACGCAAAATTACCAGGAACCGAAACATAGGTGCAGACTCTGTACTCAATGGAAACAAGAAAACCATACAGTTACCTTAGATTAGCCATCACAGTCACCAGACGCTAATCCAATAGAGAATGTTTGGGTTTTAATAAATGTCAAAATACCAAGAAAAGATTTAACATCAACAAAAGATTTCTTTCGGCTACTCCAGCATACCTGGAGGCCGCTTCCTGTGGAATATGCGGAAAATTTAGTTGCAAGTCGCAATGAAAGAGCAAGACCTAATTGACAAAGCGGAAGATGTGAGCAAATATTTAATGAACCTCAGCTATAACAAACTTTTTTTTTGAAGCGCACTGTAGTATTTAGCATTTTTGAAAGTAAGTTCGAGAAGTTTAAGCTAAAGAAGGGGAGAAGCTTGGTCTCAGTAATTCCAGAATTTATTGGGCTAACTAAGCATGTAAATCCATTCATCGAAATAATGTATTTCTGTAATTTTAATGGATTGGATCTGTATAATTTGTTATTTCAATTAACTATTGAATTTGGAATTTCAAATGACAACCTAACACCCCTATTATGCATGGCAATCAGCGTGAGAGTAGTCGCCGCTTTGCAACCAGGCAACAAAATTTTAATTACGCATGGAGGCTATCCACTGATAAAAGTCAACTGAGTAGTCATTCGCTATTGTAGGTCTATTAAGTATAAGTAACATCCCTTTGTACAGAAAAGTCAAATCCAGTTCTTAATATCAGTCGCTTACAATATTTTTCGAGTTTAAGATTTGGAAACTTTAAAAATATTTAAAGAAAATATTTAAAGGTACATTTTATTTTTTTTTTATTTATGAAATTATTTTATCACAATTTTTTTTACTTACATATCTTTTGGATATTTATTGTTAAAATTAATTGTTCTTAATCGCTGCCTTTTTATACATAAGTTGATAGTAATAATTTTTATGTCCTATAGAATTCACAATATAAATCAATTTGACCATTTAATTTCACGAAATACTTCAAAATTAATTTAAATACAGAAAAATTAAAAGTTTTTATTCATTTTCATATTACGAAAAAATTTGAGTAATACGACTGTTTGTTTTAAAGAGTGCTTCTCAAAAATATAAGCTCTGGATTATTGTATGACTTTTCGAGTATACTCGTACAGAGGTCAGTAGCTGTACGTATAATAAACTCCTATTATGATAGCTGCGGATAGTAGACCGGAAACTATAAATTGCCTTACATAATCAGGATATTTTAATTTTTATTACTTCTTTCATTAGCTTTTAGCCACTATAAAATTCACGGGGTCACCTAGTTTCGCGTTGCTATATACTCACTTGTTAAAGGAATACCATATACTAGGAGATTATCACCAAAGTACGATATTTAAGGAAGTATTTGATAATTGACGTAGATCTCTTATAAGCCATTATATTAAATAAAAATAAATAATAAGTTACTTAATTTGGACGTTACTTTATTCTTCGTCTTTGTTCTACAGGTCTATTACTACATTGTCGACTCACCACGAAACGAAGGCAAAGAATTCTTCGAAATAAACTTGCAGAGTGGCGAAATCTTCACCAAAACCGTGTTTGACAGGGAGAAGAAAGGCGCCTATGCGCTGGAAGTGGAAGCACGTGATGGCGCGCCCTCAGCGCGACCCAACAGCAATGGACAACCCAATTCAGGTTAGTCACAATACACAAACCGTTAGTTAGCGTTGTGCATTTTATTTGGAACCTGAGCTGAGCGCGTGCATTTAGCGCGACAATTATTCAGATTTACAAGTTGTGATTTACAAAATTATATGCGCAAAAGTTGCAGCAGTCAAAACAGATGTACGCTGTTATCAACATCAACAACTTAAATCAACAGCTGCCGCAATTGCCGGCATGGATAAGTTGTGAAAGAATAACAAAAACAGCGTTCGAGTAAAAGTTTCTTTGTGAATTTTATTTCTCGAAAGTTTTTCATATGCAAATGCAAATGGCGTCATTTTTGGGCAAATAACATGCTGCATTTACAAGTTTTCTACTTGCGCAGTTGATGGCGACAGCAGCGCGGAGTGCAACCAGATTGATGGTTTGGCAAAAGTTCTCATTTTTGCATTCAATGCTTTTTCTTGGTTCGTCGTGTTTGAGTAAGAAGTGCCAACAGCGTTGCCTATAAAGTGGATTAAAATAACACTACTTAAAATGACACTTTTTCGACAGTTACCGTTACGTTTTGAATTATTACTTTTGGCGCAAATTGAAATCGGCTGCTATATATACTTATAACACTAAATACTTGGATGGCAGCCACACAGTGGCTTAACGCGGCAGCTTGAGTCGCAGTGTCGCCATAAATCAGACTTAGCAATCGCAGCTCAGATTTTAGCGCGTCATATGCTTATTAGTTCATTCAGCCGTGTGTGCGTGGGCAAGCTGTGCAAATGTTACCTCAATCTATGAAGTGTTTACCGGCGCAACGCCACCTGCATGTGAACACAGTATTTTTTGCACAAACCAGCCGCTGCAGTCGCATTCCTCCAGCTATTCGCTTTGCGCGCAGCTTTCGATTGGCATTTCGCAAATTCGTTTACCTTTTGAGTGCAGCCAATTTTCGGTTTTGGCATTGAAATCACAGCACACGCGTCAATATTCCTCTTTTTTTAACTTAATTCACAGTCAGCGCCGCAGTAACAGGAAAGGGAACTTTGAGTGCCGCACACAAACACGCACGCACACATTGGTGTTTCATTTGCAGTATGTCATTGGTTGCTTTGGCTATTTAGTGCATTAGTGTATACTGCATGGCGAAGTAATTCGTAGCATTCCGTATGGGTGCATGTATGTGTGGTTTGTCTGTCAGTTTGTTTGCTTATCTGTCTGCCTTCCTGTCTATCGCTCGCCATTGCTTTTGCTGGCATTTGCATTCGCATTTGCAATCCATGCAAATTCTTCGTGCTTCATTTGTATGCTTGTGTGTGTTACGTATGCATGTATAGGTGTGCACTTAGGTTGTTGCTATTTTGCATTGCCAAATGCAAATCTTATTTTTATTTGCTGTTTATGCATGCACCTTCACAGTGTACTCGCCGTCCTTCAGCGCATGCATTCGTTGCGCCTCAGTACTGCTCTAAACAAATGCGAGTGTTAACATACTTTTTAGCATTTTTGCACTTAAAAATTAAAAATTTCTACTGAACAAGCAGAAAATAATAATAAAAATGGAGTCTGCCCTTGGCAAGTGCGTTCAGAGCGCAACTGACACTTGGTCAGTTTTCGGTTCAAACCCTGGCCGAAGTAAAATAAATAAGCTGTTGAAACGATTTTTGCTACCGCCTGAATTTTTCGCCCCCCTGTTCGCAGATAAAATTAATATGTAAGACATGCTAAATAAATCACATGGTTTCAAGAAAAACAATTTTTTTTGTAAAAACCAATTTTATTATTATATTGTGGGCGATACGATTCGAAGAACGATTGGTCTTTTACTTCGAAATAGGCGAAATTCTTGGCAATTTCTTTCCGATGACCATACCTTTTGGGCCCCTGAGGACAGACTCGAAGATTAGGGCGAATACATGCAATTCTTTTTTGTTTTGGGACACGGTTCATTGCACTTTGCATAGAGCTTTTGCATTTAAAAATATGTCAAACACGTCAAACAAGTCCTTTTATAATACTACGTCAACAAATATTGAAATATTTATATTTTGTATTTTCATGTATCCAGGTAAAATATACCCAATGTAAAGCGAAATATCCTATCTCTTTGTAGAGCGTTAAAATTACTATGGGCTAATTTTTACTCTATTAATACTTGGGCTTAAATTCATTTTAGTTCTATTCACTTCCAGCAAGTATATAAAGCTATTCCATCAAATGGCACTTCGCTTAAATTTCTATTAGTTTATGTTTTCTGATTGCAAAATAAATGACGTCTACTTAAACGCTAACAAATTACTACTTTCACGCAATATCAATTCGATTACATTAACTTGCTATCGATTTATCTGCATATGCAAAATGTATGAGGCGGCAAAAAGGGCTCGGGCTAAAGCACAAGCATATTTGTTATGCATAACTCCGTTACGTGCCGGTTGATTTGCTACTAGCGTTGCCTACTTTTGGGAGATTTTAAAAGTAATCAAATAATTTTTCTTCGGTGCCTTACAATTGGGGCACATATGCGTGGCCTAACGAAAGTTTTCTTGTCCTTTTAATGGCATGACTACAACACATATACACACATGCAAAGTGTTATTACGGCCATTGCTTCTATATTCACAAACTTGTAGTGCAACAATTGCTTGCTTGGCGTTGTGTTTATTTTTGTGTGTACATTTTGCAACAACAAATCACAGCTGCCCTGCACGCTATACATATGGCTGTGTCTGAATTCAATCTGAATTTGGATATTCATACATACAAAAGTGCGCAGCATACGAAACCAACTATTAGGCGGCGATGGGCCATGAAACAGCAAATAATATTTTCGTTTGCGCCCTTTCAGTTGACTTTTAGGCTAAAAAGCGGTTAACTTGTATACACAGCCTGTCGGCTTTATGGGGTTCAAAGGTGCGTCGGCTAGCAGCTAGTTGGTATTAGACAGTAAACGGAATTTTAGATGTTATCTCTGGTACGTGCTGCATTTATTGCTTGCATACTTTTGGGCTTATGTGCTTGTGTGACCGTCGCCTGTGCACGTCGGTCAGCCGAAAGCTTCAGTGACTGATAGTCACATCGTTTGTGTACATTTCGAACTAATAAAAACATATTTCAGGAAATAATATTCTTGGGTTGTGCTCGTAAAGCATACCGATGGGCATTTAATGTGGCAAAGTTCGGCAATCAAGCAGAATATAAACAAAAACAAAAAACGAAAAATTATTTTAAAAGCAAAGAAAGGCAAAATTTTCGTTTTTAATGGCTAAATTTAATGCACTTTAGTAGCATATATCATGATATAAGAGTGCTCTGAACTTCTAAAATTTTATTTCGCTCATTAACCTGCGGTATGTACTACAGGAAATGCATCCTACAGATAGAGATAAGGTCAAATTATCAGTGTCTTATATATATATGTAAGTATATATATCGGAAATTTGCTAAGCTCCAATACTTGCTAAAAATTCGTGATGTATTTTATCTTCATTTCCTCGTTCAATCCATAAGCTCAATTGCCCAATTTGTATGCACTTTCTCATCAAACAACAAATTTTTTTTTTCTAATATCGATTACTACTGTTGCCTGCTTAACTGCGCTACGTGCGCATGTTGCTTTAATTCATCCAACAACACATAATAAATTTCAATACAAGCATGAAAGTACGAATGAATGTATGTATGTACAGCAGTGATGTTATGTTTTTTGATGAGCTACCACGAAACCCGACCTCAGGCAATTTGCGCGCTAACTGTTGTTTTGCGGCAAGCTTTGTATTGCATATTGTTGTTTTTGTTGTCTGTTAACTGTTGGCCGTTGGCAAAATTTTTTTTTTCAGCCACTACTCCACCATTTTTTGCAAGTACTCCTTTAGCTCATAACTTTATATCTCATGAATGAGCCTGTGTTTAGTTGGAAAAGTTTATTATGCTGCTCACATGAAATAAGAACTTCCTAATTTCTAGGGCGGAAGTAAGTACTCATAAAAATTTGCTCATAAAAACATTATTACTGCTGTTCTTTTTGTTATTGTTGCGTTCACAATATGATATATCCCAGCAGTTTTTTTTAGATAGATAGCTAAGCATAATAACATTCCATTGCAATGCTTGCTCACGCTCTCAAGCGCATATGTCATATATGGGTGTGTGTGCATGTAGTCGTGCCTTTTGCGCGCAAATGTATTCAAGTGTACACATATTATATTGTGTTTGGCAAGTGTGTGAAAAGTGCCATATTTGTTGTAATGTTAGCTTTGTTTGTATTCTAATACACATACTAGATGGTGTTAAATTTATTTTATTGCTCTTACACTCCTCTCGCGTTCATTCCAGCAGTAGAGGTACTGACATATAGCATTTATATGTATATGTATGTGTATGAGTCTGTATGTTAAACCTCATAAGGTGGCAATGCTACAATGCTTTTCAGCAAGTGTGGGCAATTTTTTTGTACACATCTGTACAAACTTATTTTCATGTATTTATTTCAAATATATGTATATGTTTGTTATTTTAAGGTATTTGACTAAATATCAACTTGTACATACATACATACATCTACTGAGGGTGAGTGGTATAAATATGTAACGAGCCCACAAGAAGCCACGTCAGTAATTATGAAAGCTATTAAAAATAGTTTTCATATCAATTGAGTTCATTGACACTTTAACAGTACGTGATAAGCTCATCATTGCTTTAATATCTGTCTCATAACATAATCTAGCTACAAAATTGTAACAATTTTATTTATACACACGAGTGTTCCTCCATAAATTTAGAGGTTATGCCTACTTCTATGTAAGTCTAAAAGAATAAGAGTTTTCCAAATTTTTGTAAAGTATTTGATTATATAAATACATCCAAAACGTGTACATTTAGAGGAGTCCCTTTGCTTCTATAGGCAATGTCCTGAATATCCTAACCCTCATGTTTTAAGAGAGCGCTTTTAAAGTTTGCAGTTTGAAGACTTTTACATTTAGTTTAAAAATTTTACTGTTTTTTATAATCCGAAAATATTAGCCGGATCAATCAAA